TTCACTCAAGGTCATGCATCCTTCCCAACCTCCACTGTGTGCAATGGAAATGGGTGCACTTGCTTTCAGTGCTTTCATTTGTAAATTCTCAAAAATACCCTCATTCATTCATTCATTCATTCATTCATTCATTATCTTTGTGGGTGAAGTACCAAAATGAGGTTTCCAGGAAGCAAAGTCAGGTGCCCAGATCACAAGACACAAGAGTGTATAGTTTTGCTAAGGTTAATTAAAAGCCATTAGTCAAGATTATGTCCATTTATAAAAGTCATTCCCACATACAAACTTGATAGTTAATTACGATATAGAAATAAGATATTATAGACAGTCATACCTACTTGAAAAATTATATAAAATGAGTTACATTTCTTTTTTGTCTTTATTTTTCTTTTATTCTTTTGGAGCTGAGGACCTCTACTTGCTAGGCAAGCGCTCTACCACTGAGCTAAATCCCCAACCCCGAGATACATTTCTTAAACTACCAAACTAGTTGGAACAGATTTTAAATTTGGATGAGCTAATAATTTTGAAAGAAATTTGATTAAAATTAAAGAATCCCTTTGGGAAAAAAGAACAAAATAGTCATAGATCCAGATGATAATTTTAAAATAGAAATCTTGCTGGGCATGGTGGTGCACACTTTTAATCCCAGCATTTAGAAAGTAGAGGCAAAAGCAGGTGGATCGCTGTGAGATTGAAGACAGCCTGGTCTACATGGTGACTTCCAGGCCAGCTGAGGCTATAGGGAGACCCTGTCAAAAAATAGAACAAATAAATAAATAAATAAATAAATAAATAAATAAATAAATAATGAATAAAACAAAAATAGAGATCTCTATCTTATCCATGTTCTGAAAGGGAGACTACCAATATCATTAAACTCTTAAACTGAAGTCAGCTAGTGTTCCCTTCATTTCAAGCCAGAAAGGAATAATATAAAAGAAAATGAAAGCATAGTGGTGTATGTGAGTGTGTGTGTGTGTGTGTGTGTGTGTATACATACAGTAGAAGAAATCTCAGAATGGTTTAACATTAGAAAATTTGTGAATGTACTTTACTAATGAGCTACTATAGAAAGTTTATAAGACTCAATAGAAAAATTACTTTTTAATATCAATGTCGTTTTTAATACATGTGTGTACGTATACAGGTGCATGTGTGTGCAGGTTTACAAGCATGGGTGCATTCACATGTGCTTGTGTGGTGTGTGTGTGTGTGTTTCTGTGTCTGTGTAGGTCAGAGGACAATCTTGGTCTCATCCTCAGGAATACCATCTATCTCCTTTGAGACAATGTCTTTCATTAGCCTGGAAATTACCAATTAGGCTAGGCTGGCTGGCCTGTGGGCTCTGGGGAGTCTGCCTGTCTACACCTTCCCGTCCTTGGGATTCCAAGTATGTACCACCATGCCAGGTAGTTTTACAGGGGTTCTAAGGATAGAGCTTGGAACTTCATGCTTGTAAGATAAGCATTTAACTTACTGAGCCATCTCCCCATGATTTTGGTTCCTCATGATAAAAACCAAAAAAAAAAAAATTCAAAACAATAAGACATGTTCTATCCATGATAATATGATTAATAGCTGGTATTTATCAAATGCCATACTTAAATATTACATTTAAATTCAGAAAGAAGAAAAATATAGCTTTTATCCCTGTTATTTAACATCAAAATGAGATATAAGGATTGGAAAATAAAAATGTAAGCTGTTACTATTTTTAAGAGGGATGATCATATGCATAAGAAACATCAGAATCAATAGAAAGACTCAGAATCCTTAAAATTTGTATGGATTCTAAGTACAAGTTAACAGAATATCTATGCATTTTCTTAACCACTATCATCCAGCTGTATTTCACTTAAAAACAAGCTACCATGAGACAGCCTGAGAGGGTGGGTTCGGACCTCCATCTGTGTAGTGGCTCTGACCTTAGCAGACCGCCTGAGAGTGCTGAGCTCTGGCCTCTCTCTGGCCTCCCTCTAGCAGAGGGCCAGAGAACACAGGGATGGCCTGAGAACCTCCATCCTGCCTCCACAAGGTGGCAAGCTTCCCCTAATTGCACCATACCCATCTCCCTACCTGGGATTTCCTGAGGCCCCTCCAAAGGCCCCAGGTCAGAACTGGCTTTGGAGAGTAAGGCTGAGATCCTAGCAGACAGCCTGAGAGGGTGGGTTTCAGCCTCCATTGGTATAGTGGCTCTGATCTCAGCAACCCCTCAGTTATCTCGATAAGTAAGCTCAATAAATTCATTGGTTCCCCAGTAAAACTTTAATCAAACATTGGCTCGACACTAGAACCTTGAAAGGGAATAAGCATTGCTTAGCATGTCCAGGAAAAGATGTCTCACAACGGATGGAAAATTTGTTAATGCTATTATGTCTTATAATTATTTTCAAAAAATGAAACTAAGCGATGTTAAAAGGATATGGGGATGGAGATATTTTCTAAAATAGAAAAAATGAGAAAGCCTAAGCAATTGATGAGGACACAGAGACCCCTCAAGATGGACTTGAACCAGTGTCCAGTCTACAAAGAGGAGGGTTAATAGCCATAGTTAGAGGCCTATACTAATGTGATCAGAGGGGCTTAAAGGACAGATTTTGCCACTTGCCCTCCAAGGTCGACTAAGTTCTATGGGACTATGGAATATCTATCAAAATGTCCTGTGACTGTGGTGAGTCACCTATGCTCTTGTTCAGGGAGGCCATGGAGATCTCATGAGATGGATTTGAACCAGTGTTCAGTCTACAAAGACGAGGGTCAACTCAGAGGAAACATCTCATTCATGCTTCCAAGTGAAGCCAGACATGGTTGAGTAGGGCCTTTAACTTATCTTCACATACATGGAACAGGTAAAAGAAAGGAGCTAGGAGCTCCTCCCAAGCCCTTGTGACCCCTTGGCCAACTGTATCTTGTTCAGGGAGGCCATGGAGATCTCATGAGATGGATTTGAACCAGTGTTCAGTCTATAAAGACGAGGGTCAACTCAGAGGAAACATCTCATTCATGCTTCCAAGTGAAGCCAGACATGGTTGAGTAGGGCCTTTAACTTATCTTCATATACATGGAACCGGTAAAAGAAAGGAGCTAGGAGCTCCTCCCAAGCCCTTGTGACCCCTCGGCCAACTGTATGGTCTTAAACACCCAAAAGGAAAGTACAACCAAAGAGTAGTCATTAGTATATTACTTTAAGAGTTCAAGGGATTACACTTCCCAGACATTTGGCTTAAGTCTATATAAAAACTTATTTAGACAATTATTTCTCATTAATGATTTTGTTCCTAACCAGAAAATGCTGGTCAGATGTAAGACTTCAAATCTTGCTCTCCAGTACTGTAATGCCCACCTGTAGCTAACTAAGGGAGACAACCAGCTATTGTCCTAAAATGATGGATAAATTTGTTTTCTCCCCCTATCTCAAAGCCTTTGACAGAGAACTGACACTGATTCTAGCCACTCCAATGGCTATCAAAATACCAGAAAGCAAATCCTGAATCCATCACTCTAGAGTCCAGCCTTGGAAGACAAAAGAAAAATGAGGAAGAACCCAATAGAGGGATGCTCTTGGAAGTCCTTGTCAAGAAATACCAGTGGACTCTCCTATGAACATTTGAAAATTGCCCTGTTCTGACTTTTTTCTAGTTCCCTGTCTAGAACTTGTAATGCTAATTACTCTTGCCTTTACTTCTCCTTCACATCTCCTATTCATCAGTCAAGGACTTTCTTTTCCCCCTAGAGATAAGAGTTTTGGAATTTGGGAGTCTTTTAGATAGACCCACTGAAGGGGTACTCCAAATTGCCTCACCCTGCATCCTTGTTCAGCATGGAAGAAGCCAGAGGGATCTGTGTCCCTATTCCTTATTCCTTTACTTCTCCTTCACATCTCCTATTCATCAGTCAAGGACTTTCTTTTTCCCCTAGAGATAAGAGTTTTGGAATTTGGGAGTCTTTTAGATAGACCCATTGAAGGGGTACTCCAAATTGCCTCACCCTGCATCCCTGTTCAACATGGAAGAAGCCAGAGGGATCTGTGTCCCTATTCCTTATTGGCAATTTGGGTAACCCCTTCAGAAGATGGCGTGATAAGAATAGGAGGTAGAAAACTGG